GAGGCGCGGGGCGGCGCGGGCCCGGTAGGGACACTTGGCGTTGAGGACGCGACGCAAGGGCAGCCAAGGCACCGCGGCCTCCCCAAGGAGCTGCTGCTGGACCCGCCGGGAATCGTTCTGCCTCTTGAGCCTTTTGAACTCGTTGAAAGCAGAAACCCAGGTCTGATAAAGCAGCAAAGCCATGGCCCGGGCTTTGTCGGCCTTGGAGAGCAGCACGGCGTGGCAGCGCAGCACCACCGCCTTGTTCTTCACCTGGTGCCTGTAGACCCAGCTGAAGACCTTGGGGTGCCGGCGGTCGGCAGAGCAGTAGGTGATGCGGTGCAGGAGGTAGGCATGGCCGGGCCGGCGGGTCCCCTTCTCACAGGGGGTCATCCGAATGCCTTGAGGTCCCAAAGTCAGCTTCATCTTGGCCCCTCCAGCCCCAGCATCGCTCTTAGCCCAGATCTTCCCCACCGCCTCCTCCGTGCAGCCCTCTCCCTTGGCCTGCAGGGTGATGGCGTTGCCCAGGTACCTCACCGTGTAGCTCGGGTCTTCTTTAGTCACCTCCACTTTCTGCCTCTTGCCTCGGAAAACCTTCCCCAAACGGTCCAAGGGACATTCGGGCAGGAGATCGGGGCAGGAACGGAGGAAACCAGCCAGGAACGCCGCGTAGCTCAAACCCGGCCCCAAGCTCTTCCCTTTACACTTCCCATCGTTTTCCACCAGCACAAACTTGCTCCGCCGCCAGGGCAACATCTCCCCTTTGCCTGAATCCCCACCCCTTTTCACCCCCCTTTTCACCCAAACCAACCCCCCAAAAAAACGGCTGAAAAGGGGGGGGGTTCTCCCCAACACGCCCCCCCAACCCCACGCGGGGAAGGGGAGCGGGAGATGCTCCTTCCCCTGGGATGCAGCTGCCGGAATTCCCACGCCGTGAGCCCGAGAAGGGATGCGGGGATGGGATGGATGAAGGGATGGGATGATGGATGGAAGGGGAGGGGGATGATTTCAACCCCAGGAGCCGCCGCCGTTTCTCCGGAGCTGCCTCCTGCGGTTTCGCTGCGGGAACGACGGGGACGCGGCGGCACCGGGGGGCGCGGCGCAGCACCCAGACCCCCAGCACCGAAACCCACCCCCCTGGGGGGTGATTTTTGGGACCATCACTCAACCCTGGCATGAGAAAAGAGGTTTTATTTGCCCCCCCACACCCCCAAACCCCCCCTTGGCACGAGGAGGGGGGTGTACCAGGGTTTGCAGACCCCTCACCCTTTCTTGTCATTTATTTTTGGTCCCAGAAAGCCCATTTTTTCCCCCTCACTCAGGAGCTTTTGGCTTTTAACCTGTTGCTTTCAAGCCCCCCGGGATGGTTTCCTTCTCCTGGAAAAATGAGATGTTTCCCTGTGGTGCAGCCCTGGGGGGGTTGGGGGTGGATTTTTGGGGGTGTCTGTGAGGTTTTAACCCTGCAGTGGAGCCTGAGGCTGCTCAGGATTCAGCTCCTTCAGCTCAATCCCTCATTTCCACTTAAAATCCACCTTGTGGGTCCAACGGGGACCCCCCCCCCCAATCTCAGGGTCCCCCCCAAAGATGCTCTGACTGCCTCAGGATTCAAAAATGAGGAGAAAGGGGTAAAATAACAGCGTTTGCCCCCACTTTTAGTCCATTTGGGGGGGTGTTACAGGGAGGTGGAAGCCATTTCCCAGCTTTTCCAGGGTTTGAAGGATGGAACTGCAACCTTAAAATAGCTCTTTCACACAGGCAGGCAGCACTGGCCTGACCTCCTAGGGTTTTGGAGCCAAAAATCATAGAAAACTGGGTGAATTTGTCTGGTTTTTGGCTACTCTGCTGCAGCTTGGAGTGTGCAGGTTGCTCCCCATGCCAGGGTGGTTTCAGAAGAGGTGGCAATTAGTTAATCAGTGCAAATGAGGAAGGTTTCCATCCACTTGACCTCTTGGTATTTCTGTTCTTACCCAGAGGGAAGGACTCCTTATTTAATTCTTTAGTCTTCAAGATTTAAACCCCCCCCAAAAAAAATCCCAAAGCTCATTTATTTGTAGCTCCCACATGATTTAAGAGGGGGGGTGTCCCCTTTTTCCAGCCTGCAGTGCCTCCCACCAGCTGCTTTGGGGCAGGATTTCCTTTTCTCTCCCAGTTTTTCTTCCATGGAATGGGGTGGGGAGCACAGGAGCATCCTTTGAGATGGGGAAACAACCAGAATTTGCACTTCAAAAAGCTGGGAAAGGGGTTCAGAGCTGCTTCAGGGCTGCCAGTCCCTCCCTTCTGTTGACTGCCCTTGTGAGTCAGTAGGTTCCAGGGTGAACAAACACCTGCACCAGCCCCAGGCACCACATCCCAGCCTGTCGTGGTTCCTCAGCAATGCCCCAACTCCAAGATTTACCAGTAGAACTGGTGGATAAAGTAAAACTCCTCCCCAAACCCCATAAAGCAGACAGAAAACCCCAGTGATGAATCAACAGGGGCTGCGATGCCCACCCTGGCAGCCAGAAAATGGGGCATTAAGCTCTTCCAGCAAGGGGAAATAAGGGAATATTTTTAATTCAAGAGCAATTTGCTGATCAGCTCAGCATCCTGGAGGCCTTTTACCCCACAGAGCAGCACAAGGACCTCCCAAAATGGGCTTTTATCCCCTCTGTCCTCAGCCAGCAGTTGAAAGTCCTGGGAAAACATGATCTATGTTGTTGTTTTTTTCCTTCTCTGTTTTCAACCAAATTCATTTCCTTCTTTTGATCTCACCCATCAAGGGCTGTTGTCCCCCCCTGTCCCCTCCTCCCAACCCAGGAGTGATTTCCTGCCATTTTCCCATGGAGCTGCACAACCAGTTTTCAACTGAAGAGGAAAAGAAAACAAACCGCTGAGGCGGCGGCAGAAAAACCCTCCAGTGGGACAGAGAAAAGAGGGAAAACAAAAGGAAGAAGAAGCTGGAAAACATGAGATACAGGAGGAAATTTAGGGGGGGGAGTAGGGTGGTGTTGGGGGGGGG